GTAGTCATCGTGCTCAATTAATTAGTTTTCATGTAAGCCCAATGTTTGTTGATGTTGTGCTGCTGTAGCCTAAAGGCTGCTGGAATGATTCTTCCTACGTTTAAGGAAAATGTGTACTGCCAGTCCTAGACATGAGATGAGAGTGGGCCTTGCTGCTGCTGATATTGAAGGTCTTCGTTGTGCTCTTAGCAGAAATGAGGCTATCACAGGAGACTGCACTTAGGCTCTGTTGCCAAATCAATAACATCGGACTGTGTACATCTGAGACGGGGAGATCTAGGCTCAGCCCACAGCTACAGTAGATGAACAGCAGTCTGAGAAATGAGCTGTCAGCATCTAAGCCATGACTTTATGCGCCAAGGAATTCATCTGGTTCACTTAATGTATGTTCAACCATCTGGGACAATCTCACTACAACAGACGGTCATGATACAAGACTTGTCTTTGGTGTGTGGGTGTGCATACAGCACAATATTTGCTCACAGATGATGAGTGAAACTCAGTCAACACTCAGCATATGACTAATCTGGTGTATAGAAAACTTTCATAATGCCGAAGCTACAGTATTGTGATTAAGTTCTTCCACTTTCAAGTGCTGCTCTCAAAATGTTTTGACAAAATGTGTCTTGGAAAGCAGAGGGGCATTTTCTAAAACATGGCAATGTGTTTCAACATTTTCATCCACAAATAATTGTTAGGTTTCTTGGGTCTTAGAAAGTGTTTGTTGTCTGGATACTTTATTCTGTTGTGAGGGGCTACACATTCCCTCTCCACCTGTCAAAATACAAAGAGGAAATTACTTGTTTGTTTGTTATTTTGCGTTTCTATCAAATAGAAAGCATTCCCTCTTTGTCAGTCTGGGCAGACACATTGATGGAGGCAATTTTCTGTTAAACGTTAATTGAGGCAATAAAGGGAAAGTAACAAACAATCAATGTCACTCCTTAGGTACTCAGCAGTCCAGCAACATTCTGACTGTAGGTGATTCAGATGTCCACAATCACATTGGTCCTTGTCTAGTGGTCGTGTCATAAACCACGTTTCCATCCACAGTTTTTATGCAAGTAAACTCATATCGTATAAAATAAATCACGGCAGCTGTGATGAAACAGGAAGTATCGGTACAGTGCATGTTGATCTTGATGCTCCTTTCAAATAAATATCGAGGATCTTATTCTGGTGACATGATGATCGATGCTTGACTGCCGTTTGACAAATAAAAATATTATCCATAATAATCTCATCATGTAGACTAGCCTACCCTCACAGCCTACCACCCTGTATCTGCTAGCTGCTGGCTAGAGCGCACGCACCAAGACTAGAGTAGACACATTTGCTATAAACGCAACAGTTTTTGTGACTAAACTATCGGTAGAGTTCAAAATGCAATGGAAACACATTGAACTTTAGATTTTTATTCGGTACATGAAAAATTAAGCAAAAAATTACATTTTGTGTGCACTACATCATCACACAAAGCCTTTTATCCAAGTCAATTTGAAAGAAACACATCTCTGGTGGGAAAATGCGCATATTGTTTTTATGCAGATTTGAGAATATTCACATGAAAATCTGTCGCCAGTTAGATGAAAACCTAGCTATAGTCTGTGATTGCACAGGGGGATATTGACACTATTCTTGCATTATTTACCAAGCAGTTGGTTTGGTGTATAGGGAAACCTCAGGAATGTATACAGCGGAGTTATACAGATAATTCCTCTAGAACAAATTGGGTACGAGGTAGCTACATCATTAAAATCTGAATCTGCATGTCATAGTTTGTTAGTGAGAGAGCAGTGTAACCTTTCCTGAAGTCTATAAAGTAGCTTTTTAAGTATATAACATGTATCTGGCTTATGGCTACAGATTCAAGCGTGATAATTGACTTTTGGAAATGATGTTGACCTCTGCAGCTCCAATTAAACATGAGTGCATGGTGCATGTTGATTTGGAGGCCTGTAGTTAATGAGATTGTACAGAGTGTGCAGTGAGTTTTGAAATGCTGCCCTGAATTCGAACCCTTGACCTCTGTAGCCAAGCAAGATTGAGCCATCAACAAAAGTTGCGCTAGGAGTCTGTTAGAGTCTATGGAAAGTTATTCATCAAGATTGAGTGTGTCTATCAGTCATGGTCGAATATGTCTACCAGGAACATGACAGGCTGAACGTTTGATTTGTTTTTCAAAGCTATTCATGTATTGCTATTAATGTGTTCAATAATAACCAAACCAGACAGAAATTGGCCTTGCCCATATTCATTGACAGACATATTGTACTTATATTGAATGGCCTTTGCTTCCAGTCATTACCACCAATTGTCTGCTATGTGAATGGTAAGGGACGTCACATGGATGGATTTGATCTACCATGTGCTAGTCTCTCCAAAAAACCTTCTATGGTAAGGAGCAGTAATATAAAATGCAATTAGAAGAGAACTTGTGGAGAAGGTGGAAAGTTTTAAGTACCTCGTCGTACATATCACTGACACACTGAAATGGCCCACCAACACAGACAGTGTGGTGAAGAAGGCGCAACAGCGTCTCTTCAACCTCAGGAGGCTGAAGAAATTTGGCCTGTCACCTAAAATCCTCACAAACTTTTACAGATGCACAATTGAGAGCATCCTGTTGGCTGTATCACCTCCTGGTACGGCAACTGCACCGCCCACAACCGCAGGGCTCTCCAGAGGGTGGTGCGGTCTGCACAACGCATCACCGGGGGCAAACTACCTGCCCTCCAGGACACCTACAGCACCCGATGTCACAGGAAGGCCAAAAAGATAATCAAGGACAACTACCACCCGAGCCACTGCCTGTTCACCCCGCTATCATCCAGAAGGCGAGGTCTGTACAGGTGCATCAAAGCTGGGACCGAGAGACTGAAAAACAGCTTCTATCTCAAGGCCATCAGACTGTTAAACAGCCATCACTAGCACAGAGAGGCTGCTGCCTACATACAGACTTGAAAATCACTGGCCACTTTAATAAATGGAACACTAGTCACTTTAATAATGCCACTTTAATAATGTTTACATATTTTGCATTACCCATCTCATATGTACAGTGAGGAAAAAAAGTATTTAGTCAGCCACCAATTGTGCAAGTTCTCCCACTTAAAAAGATGAGAGAGGCCTGTAATTTTCATCATAGGTATACGTCAACTATGACAGACAAATTGAGAAAAAATATTCCAGAAAATCACATTGTAGGATTTTTTATGAATTTATTTGCAAATGATGGTGGAAAATAAGTATTTGGTCAATAACAAAAGTTTCTCAATACTTTGTTATATACCCTTTGTTGGCAATGACACAGGTCAAACGTTTTCTGTAAGTCTTCACAAGGTTTTCACACACTGTTGCTGGTATTTTGGCCCATTCCTCCATGCAGATCTCCTCTAGAGCAGTGATGTTTTGGGGCTGTCGCTGGGCAACACGGACTTTCAACTCCCTCCAAAGATTTTCTATGGGGTTGAGATCTGGAGACTGGCTAGGCCACTCCAGGACCTTGAAATGCTTCTTACGAAGCCACTCCTTCGTTGCCCGGGCGGTGTGTTTGGGATCATTGTCATGCTGAAAGACCCAGCCACGTTTCATCTTCAATGCCCTTGCTGATGGAAGGAGGTTTTCACTCAAAATCTCACGATACATGGCCCCATTCATTCTTTCCTTTACACGGATCAGTCGTCCTGGTCCCTTTGCAGAAAAACAGCCCCAAAGCATGATGTTTCCACCCCCATGCTTCACAGTAGGTATGGTGTTCTTTGGATGCAACTCAGCATTCTTTGTCCTCCAAACACGACGAGTTGAGTTTTTACCAAAAAGTTATATTTTGGTTTCATCTGACATTCTCCCAATCCTCTTCTGGATCATCCAAATGCACTCTAGCAAACTTCAGACGGGCCTGGACATGTACTGGCTTAAGCAGGGGGACACGTCTGGCACTGCAGGATTTGAGTCCCTGGCGGCGTAGTGTGTTACTGATAGTAGGCTTTGTTACTTTGGTCCCAGCTCTCTGCAGGTCATTCACTAGGTCCCCCCGTGTGGTTCTGGGATTTTTGCTCACCGTTCTTGTGATCATTTTGACCCCACGGGGTGAGATCTTGCGTGGAGCCCCAGATCGAGGGAGATTATCAGTGGTCTTGTATGTCTTCCATTTCCTAATAATTGCTCCCACAGTTGATTTCTTCAAACCAAGCTGCTTACCTATTGCAGATTCAGTCTTCCCAGCCTGGTGCAGGTCTACAATTTTGTTTCTGGTGTCTTTTGACAGCTCTTTGGTCTTGGCCATAGTGGAGTTTGGAGTGTGACTGTTTGAGGATGTGGACAGGTGTATTTTATACTGATAACAAGTTCAAACAGGTCTCATTAATACAGGTAACGAGTGGAGGACAGTGGAGCCTCTTAAAGAAGAAGTTACAGGTCTGTGAGAGCCAGAAATCTTGCTTGTTTTTAGGTGACCAAATACTTATTTTCCACCATAATTTACAAATAAATTCATTAAAAATCCTACAATGTGATTTTCTGGATTTTTTCCCCTCAATTTGTCTGGCATAGTTGACGTGTACCTATGATGAAAATTACAGGCCTCTCATCTTTTTAAGTGGGAGAACTTGCACAATTGGTGGCTGACTAAATACTTTTTTCCCCACTGTATATACTGTATTCTATACTGTCTATTGCATCTTAGCCTATGCCACTTTGATAATGACATTGCTCATCCATATATTTATATATTCTTATTCCATTCCTTTACTCAGACTTGTGTGAATTAGGTTTTTGTTGTGGAACTGTTAGATATTACTTGCTAGATATTGCTGCACTGTCGGAACTAGAAGCACAAGCATTTCGCTACACTCGCAATAACATCTGCTAACCATGTGTATGTGACCAATACATTTGATTTGATTTGATTTTGTTAAAACATGCTGAAGTGTCATTTTATGGGATGATGACTCATTCCTCCATTGTCTGTATCTTGTGTTTTGTGTTGCCCTCCAGGGAAATGTGATGAAGTGTTGGCCACACCCCTCTCCCACACGGCTTTCACCAGCTCCTCTGTGTACTCCGGTGGATATGGGGCTGGATACGCAAAGCTCAACAGGAGAGGAGGTATTAAATAAAACCTTCAGAATAAAAGCTTAATATCTCAATCTCAATATATCATCTCAAATATTTTAAGCTGCAGTCTCATTCACTTCACTCACATATTTTCTGCCACATAGGAGCAGAGGATACTAACGGTTATGGAGCTGGTTTGATAGTCTCTCTCATCTCCAGGTGCTGGAGGCTGGTCTCCAGTGGATGCTGACCGTTACCAGTGGCTGCAGGTGGACCTGGGCACCAGGAAGCAAGTCACCTTTATCGCCACACAGGGCCGGTACAGCAGCTCTGATTGGACAACCCAGTACAGACTCCTGTACAGTGATACAGGAAGGAACTGGAGACCATATCTGCAAGATGGCAACATATGGGTGAGTGTGTTAGTTGTCATTCGTGTATCAATAAGGTCTGTGGTCAACAGATCTTATACATTTTGTTCTATGAGATCATCTTCATCAGCTAACGTCACTTTTTGTGAATCCTTAAGCATTTATGTGATAAAAAAAAGCACATAAAGCACATAAAAGGTTCCATAATTCATAAAGGTCATGTTAACTGACTAATATTACCTCATAGAACAAAACGTATAATACAGTTGGGGAAAAAAGTATTTAGTCAGCTACCAATTGTGCAAGTTCTCCCACTTAAAAATATGAGAAAGGCCTGTAATTTTCATCATAGGTACACGTCAACTATGACAGACAAATTGAGGAAAGAAATCCAGAAAATCACATTGTAGGATTTTTAATGAATTTATTTGCAAATTATGGTGGAAAATAAGTATTTGGTCACCTACAAACAAGCAAGATTTCTGGCTCTCAAAGACCTGTAACTTCTTCTTTAAGAGGCTCCTCTGTCCTCCACTCGTTACCTGTATTAATGGCACCTGTTTGAACTTGTTATCAGTATAAAAAGACACCTGTCCACAACCTCAAACAGTCACACTCCAAACTCCACTATGGCCAAGACCAAAGAGCTGTCAAAGGACACCAGAAACAAAATTGTAGACCTGCACCAGGCTGGGAAGACTGAATCTGCAATAGGTAAGCAGCTTGGTTTGAAGAAATCAACTGTGGGAGCAATTATTAGGAAATGGAAGACATACAAGACCACTGATAATCTCCCTCGATCTGGGGCTCCACGCAAGATCTCACCCCGTGGGGTCAAAATGATCACAAGAACGGTGAGCAAAAATCCCAGAACCACACGGGTGGACCTAGTGAATGACCTGCAGAGAGCTGGGACCAAAGTAACAAAGCCTACCATCAGTAACACACTACGCCGCCAGAGACTCAAATCCTGCAGTGCCAGACGTGTCCCCCTGCTTAAGCCAGTACATGTCCAGGCCCGTCTGAAGTTTGCTAGAGTGCATTTGGATGATCCAGAAGAGGATTGGGAGAATGTCATTTGGTCAGATGAAACCAAAATATAACTTTTTGGTAAAAACTCAACTCGTCGTGTTTGGAGGACAAAGAATGCTGAGTTGCATCCAAAGAACACCATACCTACTGTGAAGCATGGGGGTGGAAACATCATGCTTTGGGGCTGTTTTTCTGCAAAGGGACCAGGACGACTGATCCGTGTAAAGGAAAGAATGAATGGGGCCATGTATCGTGAGATTTTGAGTGAAAACCTCCTTCCATCAGCAAGGGCATTGAAGATGAAACGTGGCTGGGTCTTTCAGCATGACAATGATCCCAAACACACCGCCCGGGCAACGAAGGAGTGGCTTCGTAAGAAGCATTTCAAGGTCCTGGAGTGGCCTAGCCAGTCTCCAGATCTCAACCCCATAGAAAATCTTTGGAGGGAGTTGAAAGTCCGTGTTGCCCAGCGACAGCCCCAAAACATCACTGCTCTAGAGGAGATCTGCATGGAGGAATGGGCCAAAATACCAGCAACAGTGTGTGAAAACCTTGTGAAGACTTACAGAAAACGTTTGACCTGTGTCATTGCCAACAAAGGGTATATAACAAAGTATTGAGAAACTTTTGTTATTGACCAAATACTTATTTTCCACCATAATTTGCAAATAAATTCATTAAAAATCCTACAATGTGATATTCTGGATTTTTTTTCTCATTTTGTCTGGCCTAGTTGACGTGTACCTATGATAAAAATTACAGGCCTCTCTCATCTTTTTAAGTGGGAGAACTTGCACAATTGGTGGCTGACTAAATACTTTTTTCCCCCACTGTATCTCCTAAGCCTGTGTTCACCTCAGACCTTATTTTTGGTGTTTATCCCAAACCCCCATTCTTTCCCCATAGGAATGACTGAACGAACCAGAAGTAACTCATTTCTGGTTTTTAGGACTACAAACTGGCGAGCTCTATTGCGTTTTGGTTGTGCACCATCTAAAATGCTCCCCATTAACAATAATTGGCTTCAAAATGTGGAACCTAAAGGTTGTGTTTCCCAGGCATTTTCAGGCAACTCCAACAGCGAGAGTGTGGTCCGCCATGATCTGCAGCATGCAATCATAACACGCTACGTCCGCTTCATCCCACTGGAGTGGAGCGAAGAGGGGAGGATCGGCCTGAGAGTGGAAGTCTATGGCTGTTCTTACTGTGAGTGTACAGCACAGTACATCCATGCACATCTCACGCTACTGTACAAGAGATAGTATATGCGAACATCCTTTAATAGGAGAACATAAAAAGGAATCTCTTAATTCAAGACATCCTTTATTGCGTGCAGTTTGGATCATTTCTGCATGAAGAAAATAAAGGAATAATCAGGTGTTGGCCAATATGGGCTTAATTAATATGTAAGACTGAAGGTTTTAATTATCTTGGTATCATATATCATATTTGTCAGAGGAGCGTATTAATATGCTCAGTAATGTAGATTAATTTAGTTGAAATAATTACATGACTGATCTTTGTGCCAACAGCGACATTCACACAGCTACAGGTTTTTGATAGAGTAGGAGATAGAGAACAGCTGTTTACCTTGGCTGGTTTCTGTTGTTACCTTGTACTACAGAAAAACAAGCTTTACTGATCAATTTCTTCCTTCAAAGCTTTCACCTGCCACACCACCCTTTGCTGTGTCCATCCTATGCTGTATTACACACTGTAGAAACTGATAGATAGGAAAAACTGACTGGGAGAAACTTGTTTGCCCTAGTCATTGAACAGTCTAGTTCCCTCTGGCCAATTGTCCTTACTGCAAATACTCCATCCATGCCCCTAAGATTGAACAGCAAATAGATGTAACCGACTGTCAGTGTTCTGATCCCCCTGACCGGTTAAATCATGGTAAAGAGATGAAATCACTTTTGAAAGGAGAAATTGCCGCAGGGTGATATCACAATGCCATGCTGCTGTCTAGACACGTAGGCTGGCACATCTCAACAGACAGAAAAGTATTTGCAGTAGGCTTGCAGATACGGTATATAAGTAGGCTTATATACAGTATACCGTAGTATTTCAATACCGTAAATACTGTTGAAACTGTTTCTTTTAAGTATTTAAAAAAAATACATTTGAATATTTGTAGCTATCTTTAAAGAAAATTGCGTTCTTCATTTCACCTGTCACATAATTTTTCATTATGAAGCTTACCGGTAGTCCCCACTCACGTTGTGTTTGTTTGCTAATTGCTAACTAGCGTGCGCCGAACAACTGTGTGTCAGCGTAACTCGGGAATTGTAGCGGAAGTGTAGTTTAGTCAGATGGAGGCACCCATAGCTGAATGGATATGTGCAAAACTGCTACAGTAAGTTTATCTTTTTTATTTGAAGGATTCTTTCTCACTGATGAAAGATAAGGCCATATGTTTCAAAAGCCGTATAGCAGCGATGATTATTGACATTTCTAAACTTTAAAACAGCATCGGGATTGTAGTTCACATGAGCCAGTCGTGGGCGGAGCTAATTGCTGAATATTTTAGGAAGAAGGCAGAATGCCGCCTAGAGCTTTCGAGAGAAATCAAGCTTCACTTGGTAATAGCAGAGAATCCCCTCCTGAATCAAGAGCCTTGCTGTCTAATATTTGTTTTGTGCGTGCTGCAAACTTTGAGTAGCATTTTTGAGTTACTTGTATAGCTTTATGAGCTGGGATGTCTGTCCTTCAAATACTTTAGGTCAGAGACTGTATAAAATGTTCGCAATGCACTTGTTAGCATTTAGATAGCATTCTCTATGATATCTTATATGTACTTGTTAGCATTGCTAATCTTTGGATTACAGAGGCACAGTGGGGTTTGAAAATAGCGCCCCTTGTTTGTGTTCAGTGCCGGTATTACCGGATATCCTGGTATGGCACAAGGTCGGTATGAAGGTATGACATTCTGGATACTGCCCAAGCTTACTTTGCAGCCAGGGTTATATGTATTAGAGACTAAGCCATTTCTCCCGCAGTTGTTCTGTTCCTCCAATTATAAAAAGAGAAATCCGTATAAGCTGCCTCACCTTTTTGACATTGCTTATGATTGCAGTAGGTGATCTCTAAAGGACTATAGGTTTTTCTCATTAACGCTCATATTACCTTTTATGTCAAAAGCCTTGACACAGGACAGTAGAGGTAATTGAGGGGATATTAAGCTCTGTAACCTTTATCACCGTTCGGTGACCTCAGGGGAAGATGTGATCAACTTCGAAGGCCAGGGTGTGATCTCCTACCGCTTCAAGATGAAGAAGATGAAGATCTTGAAGGACATCATCTCCCTGAAGTTTAAGACCACGGCCAGTAACGGTGTGCTCCTGCACGGGGAGGGACAGCAGGGAGACTATATCAGCCTGGAGCTGAAGAGATCCAAACTACTGCTCATGATCAACCTGGGTAATGGACCATTATCCGATCCTGTCTATGGGATATCTGTGTGCATCCCAAATGGCACCCTATTCCATATTTAGTGCTCTACTTTTGACCAGGGCTCATAGAGCTCTGGTCAAAAGTAGTGCAAGATATAGGGAACAGAGTGCCATGTGGGACGCACACCTAGTGTACTGTAGTCGGTGATAATATAGCTTCTTATGGCAACTAAGGGCAGTTGATGAAACTTGATACAATTCCTGCATATTTGCTAATATGACTGTCCCTTATGCATTAATCATCTTCTATTTTTATTTGATGGATTTCAGTAATGGTTGTTGTCAGAAAGATAATTATTCATCACAGTAGCCTACACAAATTAACATTTGTAACATTTTATCTCACTATGTCAGACTGTTGTTTATAGGAAAAATGTCCCCTTAAGCATTTTCTTGAATTCAATCTGTTTATGTCTTGTAAACTTCAGGCAGCAATCAGTACGGCTCCATCCTCGGGCACACCTCCGTGACAAGCGGAAGTTTATTGGATGATGACCATTGGCACTCCGTAATTATTGAGCGTTACCGACGGAATGTCAACTTTACCCTGGATCGCCACACACAGCACTTCCGCACCAATGGTGAATTTGATCATCTTGACCTGGACTATGAGGTAGGCCACATTTTTATTGTGTATTGTCTTAGTGGTTACTCTCTTTACTTCCCTGCCTATCAGGGTTGGGTCAATTCCATAAAAATATCAATAAATTCAGGAAGTACACTCAAATTCTCTTCAATACTTTTAAATTAGGAAAATTTGAAATTTGAATTTGATTTACTTTCTAAATTGACAGGAATTTTTATGACCCCAATCCTATATAGTTTGTATATTGTCTTGGTTAATTTCTCCATCCCTTCCTATAAAATTGTATTGTATATTGTCATTGGTTCATTTCTAAATCCCTCCCTGTAAAGTTGTATTGTATATTGTCATTGGTTCATTTCTATATCCCTCCCTATGAAGTTGTATTGTATATTATCCTGGTTCATTTCTATATCCCTCCCTATAAAGTTGTATTGTATATTATCCTGGTTCTTTTCCTCACATTCCTCCCTATTTCTACGAGGAGAGGGGATATGAGAGAATATTTAATTAGATCCTTTGGCTCCTGTGAGTCAGGTTACTCAGAGGTCTGTGTGAAGATGTTAGTTCACAGATGCCAAATCGGAGCAAGCGCTCTCTGTACTGCGGCTCCCCTGTGTTTACAGAGCTCAGCTTTTAGATTTGTCTGTGTAATTATCAGTGTGCGATACCGAAGGAAATTACTTTGGCTCCGCAAGGAAAGCGAACAAAAAAAAACACAACACCATACATACATTCATTATAAAGCGGAGATTAATGCAATCAGGCACAAGCGAAAACCAATATACTCTCTGAAGGGATGTATGCTACTGTATTGATTTGATTCAAGGCGACAAATTCCTCTGAGATGTGGCTCTTCAAATAATACTTGACCCCTTTTCCTCTTCTCCTTCTGTGTCCTCTAGATCAGTTTTGGAGGCATGCCCTTCTCTGCCAAGCCCAGCACAGGAGGCAGGGAGAACTTTGTTGGCTGCATGGAGGGCATCACCTACAACGGAGATAACATTACCAACCTGGTTAAGAGGAAGAAAATTGATACTTCAAGTTTTGTAAGAACCTTTATAATAATAATAATATGCCATTTAGCAGACGCTTTTATCCAAAGCGACTTACAGTCATGCGTGCATACATTTTTGTGTATGGGTGGTCCCGGGGATCGAACCCACTACCTTGGCGTTACAAGCGCCGTGCTCTACCAGCTGAGCTACAGAGGACCACACTCTCTGTCATGTTTTGTAAATCTGAGTAGCATCTTTGCTAGGTGGTTTGTGATTCACTGGTACAGTGCCTTGCAAAAGTATTCATACCCCTTGGCGTTTTTCCTATTTTGTAGCATTACAACCTGGAATTTAAATGGAATTTTTATTTGGATTTCATGTAATGGACAGACACAAAATAGTCCAAATTGGTGAAGTGAAATGAAAATAATTACTTGTTTCAAAAAATTATAGAAAAATAAATAATGGAAAAGTGGTGCGTGCATATGTATTCACCCCCTTTGCTATGAAGCCCCTAAATAAGATCTGGTGCAACCAATTACCTTCAGAAGTCACATAATTAGTTAAATAAAGTCCACCTGTGTGCAATCTAAGTGTCACATGATCTGTCACATGATCTCAGTATATATACACCTGTTCTGAAAGGCCCCAGAGTCTGCAACACCACTAAGCAAGGGGCACCACCAAGCAAGCGGCACCATGAAGACCAAGGAGCTCTCCAAACAGGTCAGGGACAAAGTTGTGGAGAAGTACAGATCAGGGTTGGGTTATAAAAAAATATCAGAAACTTTGAACATCCCACGGAGCACCATTAAATCCATTATAAAAAAATGGAAGGAATATGGCACCACAACAAACCTGCCAAGAGAGGGCCGCCCACCAAAACTCACGGACCAGGCAAGGAGGGCATTAATGGGGCGGCGCACAATTGGCCCAGTGTCGTCCAGGGTAGGGGAGGGAATGGCCGGCAGGGATGTAGCTCAGTTGGTAGAGCATGGCGTTTGCAACGCCAGGGTTGTGGGTTTGATTCCCACGGGGGGGCAGTATGAAAAATAAAAAAATAATGTATGCACTCACTAACTGTAAGTCGCTCTGGATAAGAGCGTCTGCTAAATGACTAAAATGTAAATGTAATTAATCAGAGAGGCAACAAAGAGACCAAAGATAACCCTGAAGGAGCAGCAAAGCTCCACAGCGGAGATTGGAGTATCTGTCCATAGGACCACTTTAAGCCATACACTCCACAGAGCTGGGCTTTACAGAAGAGTGGCCAGAAAAAAGCAACAACTTTTGGTGTTTGCCAAAAGGCATGTGGGAGACTCCCCAAACATATGGAAGAAGGTACTCTGGTCAGATGAGACTAAAATTGAGCTTTTTGGCCATCAATGAAAATGCTATGTCTGGCGCAAACCCAACACCTCTCATCACTCCGAGAACAACATCCCCACAGTGAAGCATGGTGGTGGCAGCATCATGCTGTGGGGATGTTTTTCATTGGCAGGGACTGGGAAACTGGTCAGAATTGAAGGAATTATGGATGACGCTAAATACAGGGAAATTCTTGAGGGAAACCCGTTTCAGTCTTCCAGAGATTTGAGACTGGGACGGAGGTTCACCTTCCAGCAGGACAACAACCCTAAGCATACTGCTAAAGCAACACTCAAGTGGTTTAAGGGGAAATATTTAAATGTCTTGAAATGGCCTAGTCGAAGCCAAGACCTCAATCCAATTGAGAATCTGTGGTATGACTTAAAGATTGCTGTACACCAGCGGAACCCATCCAACTTGAAGGAGCTGGAGCAGTTTTGCCTTGAAGAATGGGCAAAAATCCCAGTGGCTAGATGTGCTAAGAGACTTGCAGCTGTAATTGCTGCAAAAGGTGGCTTTACAAAGTATTGACTTTGGGGGGGGGGGGGGGTGAATATTTATGCACGCTCAAGTTTTCAGTTTTTCTTTTCTTATTTCTTGTTTGTTTCACAAGAAAAAATATTTTGCATCTTCAAAGTGATAGGCATGTTGTGTAAATCAAATGATACAAACCCCCCAAAAATCTATTTTAATTCCAGGTTGTAAGGCAACAAAATAGGAAAAATGCTAAGGGGGGTGAATATTTTCGCAAGCCACTGTATACCTTGAAAACATAAATGGCAGGAACAGCCATGTATTTGTGATTACTTACTTGGAAAGGCCAGTGATGCAACACCTCACTTCAATATAATGATCCTTTTTCACTGAGGCACTACAATAAAACAGAATTTAGTACACTCATTGTAGCATAAATCAGAAGAGAAGAAACTCTTAAATGATTTCATATTGAGATAAAAAGAAATATATATATATATATATTCCAACATGCATTTAAATGTATTTGTAAGAAATATATTTTTAAATTAAAATGTATGACAAACATGGAAAATTGGCCAAATCATATAGTAACAAAATGGTGACTGTCTTAACAATAAAACTTTAGTGGGCTTTTTAATATCACATGTACTTACTGTATGTCAGTTTCAGTAAGACTGCAAAACTAGCAGGATGCAATCTTAACCAAATTAACTGGCATGACAATCTGTCTCATGGGTGGCCAAAAAGCACTAAGACAAAGCCACGCCCGCAACAAGGGCCGCCGCTACGATATATTTTGTGAAAATGCATTTTTATTGTACTTGACACATATCAAAAACATACCAAAAGCACTAACATGCATTTAAATGTGTTTCAATGACTACAAAAATGACTATAAACATGATACATTTTCGGTCATGTGGTGACTCCATGTCTTTCATGTGCATATGACAAATAAACAAACAAACTTGACGAGAGCATTGCAACCAGTGTCCAACAGGCAGAACTTAAAGTGTACTGGGTCGTTCCACGAAATGAATGCCTTTTGTGTCCCTTTGATATGTTAAGTCTAAATTATGCTCCAATATAGAATTTTAAAAGCCTGTTATATGAAATGAAGTGCCCTTTAATATAGACCACATTGAGCATTCAATCAGATTTTTTATATTAATAAAGACTTGCCGAAATGCCAAACCTCAGCATTTTGACATGTCCTTTCGTGCACCCTCTGTGACTTCCAGGAACATTTTAACCCACTAACCCCCCAAAATACTAATAGTTTTCCCCATCATTGTAAAGTCCTTGTTATTTTGTTGCTTTGACAAAGTTATTTCTGAAGATTATTATTTATTTACATTTACATTTTAGTCATTTAGCAGACGCTCTTATCAAGAGCTACAGTGGGGGAAAAAAGTATTTAGTCAGCCACCAATTGTGCAAGTTCTCCCACTTAAAAAGATGAGAGAGGCCTGTAATTTTCATCATAGGTACACGTCAACTATGACAGACAAATTGAGATTTTTTTTCTCCAGAAAATCACATTGTAGGATTTTTTATGAATTTATTTACAAATTATGGTGGAAAATAAGTATTTGGTCAATAACAAAAGTTTCTCAATACTTTGTTATATACCCTTTGTTGGCAATGACACAGGTCAAACGTTTTCTGTAAGTCTTCACAAGGTTTTCACACACTGTTGCTGGAATTTTGGCCCATTCCTCCATGCAGATCTCCTCTAGAGCAGTGATGTTTTGAGGCTGTCGCTGGGCAACACGGACTTTCAACTCCCTCCAAAGATTTTCTATGGGGTTGAGATCTGGAGACTGGCTAGGACCTTGAAATGCTTCTTACGAAGCCACTCCTTCGTTGCCCGGGCGGTGTGTTTGGGATCATTGTCATGCTGAAAGACCCAGCCACGTTTCATCTTCAATGCCCTTGCTGATGGAAGGAGATTTTCACTCAAAATCTCACAATACATGTCCCCATTCATTCTTTCCTTTACACGGATCAGTCGTCCTGGTCCCTTTGCAGTAAAACAGCCCCAAAGCATGATGTTTCCACCCCCATGCTTCACAGTAGGTATGGTGTTCTTTGGATGCAACTCAGCATTCTTTGTCCTCCAAACACGACGAGTTGAGTTTTTACCAAAAAGTTATATTTTGGTTTCATCTGACCATATGACATTCTCCCAATCCTCTTCTGGATCATCCAAATGCACTCTAGCAAACTTCAGACGGGCCTGGACATGTACTGGCTTAAGCAGGGGGACACGTCTGGCGCTGCAGGATTTGAGTCCCTGGCGGCGTAGTGTGTTACTGATGGTAGGCTTTGTTACTTTGGTCCCAGCTCTCTGCAGGTCATTCACTAGGTCCCCCCGTGTGGTTCTGGGATTTTTGCTCACCGTTCTTGTGATCATTTTGACCCCACGGGGTGAGATCTTGCGTGGAGCCCCAGATCGAGGGAGATTATCAGTAGTCTTGTATGTCTTCCATTTCCTAATAATTGCTCCCACAGTTGATTTCTTCAAACCAAGCTGCTTACCTATTGCAGATGCAGTCTTCCCAGCCTGGTGCAGGTCTACAATGTTGTTTCTGGTGTCCTTTGACAGCTCTTTGGTCTTGGCCATAGTGGAGTTTGGAGTGTGACTGTTTGAGGTTGTGGACAGGTGTCTTTTATACTGATAACAAGTTCAAACAGGTGCCATTAATACAGGTAACGAGTGGAGGACAGAGGAGCCTCTTAAAGAAGAAGTTACAGGTCTGTGAGAGCCAGAAATCTTGCCTGTTTGTAGGTGACCAAATACTTATTTTCCACCATAATTTGCAAATAAATTCATAAAAAATCCTACAATGTGATTTTCTGGGAAAAAAATCGCAATTTGTATGTCATAGTTGACGTGTACCTATGATGAAAATTACAGGCCTCTCTCATCTTTTTAAGTGGGAGAACTTGCATAATTGGTGGCTGACTAAATACTTTTTTTCCCCACTGTACTTACAGTTAGTGAGTGCATAAATGTTTTCATACTGGCCCCCCCGTGGGAATCAAACCCACAACCCTGGCGTTGCAAACGCCATGCTCTACCAACTGAGCTACACAGGGCCCTATTTCATGTGATTAGTGATTCCTTTATGTCTATCTCTCATTTTAAGGTCAACCCTGTTACTCGAACTGAACTCTTTAATATGGTGAAACTATTCCTTTTCAAAAGTGATTTTCAAAATAAACATTGAACATCTAATAGTCAAATGATAGTGTAAAAGCAGGTGAGCTGGTTTTACTCTTTTTGGCCATTTTCTGGTGTTTTGTGGTGAAAAACTGAACGGGTCGAGCATAACACGTCAACCCATAGATAGACAGGCTAGACATTTTTTAACAATTACATTTTGGGGGTAAATCTTGCATTCAATTGCCCCTCCCTGTTGCATACAAGAAGCTTCCATTCCCCCTGTCACAAGGGAATTCATGGCTGATTTAACTAGTAATTACCAGTTGGAGGGCCGTTCAAGTGGACTTTTCCCAGAAGTCGTAAATTCCCACTTCCCACTTGGTTACGAACGCACATCCAATGTAGAGCCGTATAATACCACTCAATGGAAGCACAAGGTCTAGACCTACACTTTTACATATTGTGTATAGAGATTGTTTAAATCAATAAAATATAAAATACTAAAGTATTATTAAAAACGGGGGGGGGGGGGGGGGGGGGGGTTTACCTCTTGAGATGGGAAAGCATGTTTTTTATTAAGTTGAACATGTGCTCTTTATGACAGAATGATAGAATTAGGTGAAATCCACATTTTTGTTTAAATCACTGCCTAAATTGGTGGCCAAAAAAAGTATCTACATTGATCAATACATAAAGACTAATTTAAGAAGCCGAATTAGGAACCACTTTGGCCACCCTGTAGACTAGCTGTCATAGCCATGCATTTCTGGAATATTGTCAGACATGCATATGAGCAAAGATGCAAATGTATGTACATGCATCTCTTGAATACATTTTAAAGCATTACATTCATTTTAGCAAAGATGCAAATGTATCTACATATATTTATTATGTGACGTTAAATATATTGAAATGTATTTTCTTTTCATATGGGATATGTTGAATAAAAAAGTATTCCATGCAACAGGATTGAACTCACTAAATGTGAAGTATTCAACGCTTAGCACAGGACAATTACTGCTCAGTTGTCAATGGTATGGGATGTTGTGTCAGCCATTACTTTGCTGAAGTATGGATCCAACCATTATTATTGATTTCACTTCTTATGTGCCTCTTAGCCTTGTTTTCTTTCCTGTGAGCAAATGGGTTTACTAAACTGTGGGATATTCACAAAGTTCCTTGGTGTTGGATTGCATGCTTTGCTTTCAGCACAAGTAGAGGGAGAAAGGTCAGCTTTGATTACAAGAGAAGCCAAAATTGTTTTTTGTCAAGTGCTGCTGTATGATGATGTGTTTTTCTGTGTCGGACTCTGAAATAATGCAGGTGCTTGCATTTTCACATGCATTAAACCGCAAAATGTACATTTAAAAAGCACCTTAGGTTTTCTGATGTGTCTCTAATGCAAAATATATGCTAACTATGGTACGGTTGTGCCAATGTCTTGAGCTTAAATCAACAGGGAAAAGCTGCCCTAACTTATAGACCTGTGTGCTATCTAAAAAACACCTTCTATTTTTTATGTATCTCTCAAATGCAAACTATATGCTAGCTTTGTTTATACGGTTGTATGAATAAACTTTTTTTTTTAGCTAAAATGAAGCAGGAAAAGCTGTCCTAACTTGTAGACCCATTTGCTATTATACTTTCTATCCCCCTTACAGAGGAACCTGACGTTCTCCTGCAGCGAGACACACTCCTTCCCCTTGTTCTTCAACGCCACCAGCTTCCTGCGTCTTCCGGGGCTGCCGGACAGTGACACCCTGTCGGTCAGCCTGTCCTTCCGAACGTGGAACCCCAGCGGTCTGCTCCTCTACACGGCCCTGGCCGACGGTGTGGTGGAGGTGGGCCTCACCCAGGGAAAGGTCACTGTCTACATCAACGTCACCCAGAAGAAGAACACGCGCATAGACATCTCCTCAGGTACGGTCTAGTTCAGGGCTCTCCAACCCTGTTTCTGTAGGTTTTCAATCCAACCCCAGTTTTAACTAACCTGATTCAGCTTATCAACCAGATAATTATTAGAATCAGGTGCGCTAGATTAGGACTGGAGCAAAAACCTACTGGACGGTAGATCTCCAGTTTTCCAATGCCTCGCAAAGAAGGGCACCTATTGGTAGATGGGTACAATTTAAAAAAGCAGACATTGAATATCCTTTTGAGCATGGTGACGTTATGAATTACACTTTGGATGGTGTATCAATACACCTAGTCACTAAAAAGATACAGGCATCCTTTCTAACTCAGTTGCCAGATAGGAAGGTAACCAATCACGGATTTCACCATGAGGTCAATGGTGACTTTAAAACAGTTACAGAGTATAATGGCTGTGATAGGAGAAAATTGAGGATGGATCAACAACATTGTAGTTACTCCACAATACTTGTATAATTGACAGAGTTAAAAGAAGGAAGCCTGTACAGAATAAAAATATTCCAAAACATGCATCCTGTTTGCAACAAGGCACTTAAGTAATACTGCAAAAAATGTGGCAAAACAAGTAACTTTTTTACCTGAATACTGTGGCAGACCAGGGGGTTCTAGCTTAGTCCTGGCCAGAGGAGGGAGGGGGCGGTCGTCGGTGCGATGTACGTCTCCCTTCTCAATAGGGCATCCGCGTTCCCATGCTTCGCCCCTGACCTGTGCACAATAGAAAAAGAGAAGCGTTGAAGGGACATGAACCACCTGGTGACTTGATCATTCATGTCCTTTCCCCTGGCCATCCAGACCAGGGGAGCATGGTCTGTGATCAGGGTGAAGTGGGTGCCCAACAGGTAATACTTAAGAGTGTCTAGAACCCACTTCACCACTAGACTATCTTTCTCGACAATCGAGTACTTATTTTCTTGGGGTATCAACTTCCGGCTTATGTACATGATGGGATGTTCCTCCCCATGGTGTACCTGGGACAGGACGGCCCCTAGTCCCGTGTCGCAGGCATCCGTCTGCACCAGCATCGTTACCTGGAAATCGGGCATCACGAGAATCGGATGGGAGCACAGGGCTTCCTTCAGGTGCCTGAACGCCACTTCGGCCTCATCCGACCACTTCACTGTTTTCGGGAGGCGGGCCCTGGTCAGATCAGTAAGGGGGGAGGCTATAGCCGCAAAGTTGGGGATAAACCAGCTATAGTATCCCGCCAGCCCCAGGAAGGACTTCACCTGTGTCTTGGTACGAGGAACGGGCCAGTCACGAACCGCCTGGACCTTCCTCTCCGGGTGCTTGGCGTTCCCCCGTCCGATCAAATACCCCAGGTACTCCACCTCCTTGAACCCCAGCTTGCATTTCTTGGGATTTGCTGTCAACCCGGCTTGCCTGAACGCGTCCAGTACCGCCTGGAGGCGCTTCAGGTGCTCTTCTCAACCTTGGCTGTGGATGATGATGTCATCCAAATAGGCCTCTGCGTACTGTTGGTGGGGTCGGAGGACTCTGTACATCAGGCGCTGGAACGTGGGCGTGGCTCCATGGAGACCGAACGGGAGGACCCGGTATTGGTATAAGCCGTCCGGTGTCGAGAATGCTGTCTTCTCCCGGGAGGAGGCTGCCATGGGTAACTGCCAATATCCCTTGGTCAGATCCAGGGTGCTGATGTACCGGGCCTTTCCCAACCGGTCGATGAGCTCGTCCACCCTCGGCATGGGGTAGGCGTCGAACAAACTGATGTCGTTCACCCCCCGGAAGTCACTGCAGAAACGCAGACTACCGTCCGGTTTGGGCACCAACACGATGGGGCTGCACCATGCACTGTGGGAAACCTCGATGACTCCCATCCTCATCATAGCCTCCAGCTCCTGCTTCACAGCCTTCTCTCGGGCCTCTGGGATCCGGTATGGCCTCTTTCGTACCGTTTCTCCAGGCGGGGTGCGGACGTTGTTGTCAATTAGGGTTGTTCGGCCCGGCTTCTCGTAAAACACGCCGGTGTTCCGATCGATGACCTCCTGGAGCGCTTGCTTCTGGGCCGGTCCGAGGTCCTCATTGCTCGGGACCACCACCGGCCCCATCGACATCCCGGGTTTTGACCACAACACAGCCAAGGCTGTCCTCACGTGCCACCTCTTCAATAGGTTCACGTGGTAAATCTGTTGGGGTTTCCGTCTCCCCGGCTGCTGTACGCGGTAATTTATGGGTCCCAGCTTCTCTGTCACCTCGTACGGCCCGTGCCATGTTGCCAGGAACTTACTTTCTGTGGTGGGGATTAAAACTAGCACCTTGTTACCCACATGGAACTCTCGGGGCTGGGTACCCCAATTGTAGACCTTGGCTTGGGCGCGCTGGGCCTTCTCCATATGTTCCCTTGCCACTGGCCATATGGCTGTCATCCGCTCCCTCATCATCTCTACGTGTTATACCACACTGCGTAAGGGGTCGGCTGGGCTACCCACACCTCGTTGGCGAGATCCAGTAGGCCGCGTGGTCTCCTCCCATAGAGGAGTTAGAAAGGGGAAAACTTAGCCTGGGGCACTCCTCGGATCGAGAAAATTAGCTGGGGTAGTAGCTGGTCCCAGTTCTTCCCGTCCCGCTCAATGACCTTCCGCAGCATTTGTTTGAGGGTCTTATTGAACTGTCCGACGAGCCCATCCGTCTGCGGGTGAAAGACGAAGGTCCAGATCGGCTTTATTTGTAGGAGAGCACACAAATCTTTCATTAGTCGGGACATGAACTCGGTACCTTGGTCGGTCGCGATCTCGTTCGGGATACTCACCCATCTGAAGAGGTTGAACAGCTCCCGCGCGATTCCCGAGGCCATTCCCCTACGGGGCCGGAGGAACCGTCGAGACCTGGCACGTCTAGCAGAGGGAGCCACCACCGCGTGATGTAGACTCCGTCTGTCACCAGACCTCGACGAGTCTCCCCCTGGTGGCTTGTCCGCGGTACGCCATAATACAAAGTGTTATGTTTGGGGCAAATCCAATAAAAGACATTACTGAGTACCACTCTCCATATTTTCAAGCATAGTGGTAGCTGCATCATCAGACTTTCCACCAGACACTGGGAGATTAATTCACCTTTCAGCAGGACAATAACCTAAAACACTGGAGTTGCTTACCAAGAAGGCAGTGAATGTTCCTGAGTGGCCGAGTTACAGTTTTGACTTAAATCTGCTTGTCTATGGCAAGACCTGAAAATGGTTGTCTAGCAATGATCAACAAACAATTGGACAGAGCTTGAGGAATTTTGAAAAGAACAATGGGCAAATGTTGCACAATCCCGGTGTGGAAAGCTCTTAGAGACTTACCCAGAAAGACTCACAACTGTTATCGCTACCAAAGGTGATTGTAACATGTATTGACTCAGGGGGTTGAATACTTATCTAATCAATATTAGTGGGGGGTTTTTCTTTTCTTTTTTTACAAATGTTAGAATTTTTCTTCCACTTTGACATTAGAGCATTTTGTGTAGATCATTGACAAAAAAATGATAATTAAATCCATTTAATCACAGCAGCAGCTACTCTTCCTGGGGTCCAGCAAAATTAAGGCAGTTATACATTTTTAAGAACATTACAATACATTCACAACAGATTTCACAAGATATTAAGTGTGTGCCCTCAGGCCCCTACTCTACTACCACATACAGTGGGGAAAAAAAGTATTTAGTCAGCCACCAATTGTGCAAGTTCTCCCACTTAAAAAGATGAGAGAGGCCTGTAATTTTCATCATAGGTACAAGTCAACTATGACAGACAAAATGAGAAAAAAAATCCAGAAAATCACATTGTAGGATTTTTAATGAATTTATTTGCAAATTATGGTGGAAAATAAGTATTTGGTCAATGACAAAAGTTTCTCAATACTTTGTTATATACCCTTTGTTGGCAATGACACAGGTCAAACGTTTTCTGTAAGTCTTCACAAGGTTTTCACACACTGTTGCTGGTATTTTGGCCCATTCCTCCATGCAGATCTCCTCTAGAGCAGTGATGTTTTGGGGCTGTCGCTGGGCAACACGGACTTTCAACTCCCTCCAAAGATTTTCTATGGGGTTGAGATCTGGAGACTGGCTAGGCCACTCCAGGACCTTGAAATGCTTCTTACGAAGCCACTCCTTCGTTGCCCGGGCGGTGTGTTTGGGATCATTGTCATGCTGAAAGACCCAGCCACGTTTCATCTTCAATGCCCTTGCTGATGGAAGGAGGTTTTCACTCAAAATCTCACGATACATGGCCCCATTCATTCTTTCCTTTACACGGATCAGTCGTCCTGGTCCCTTTGCAGAAAAACAGCCCCAAAGCATGATGTTTCCACCCCCATGCTTCACAGTAGGTATGGTGTTCTTTGGATGCAACTCAGCATTCTTTGTCCTCCAAACACGACGAGTTGAGTTTTTACCAAAAAGTTATATTTTGGTTTCATCTGACCAAATGACATTCTCCCAATCCTCTTCTGGATCATCCAAATGCACTCTAGCAATCTTCAGACGGGCCTGGACATGTACTGGCTTAAGCAGGGGGACACGTCTGGCACTGCAGGATTTGAGTCCCTGGCGACGTAGTGTGTTACTGATGGTAGGCTTAGTTACTTTGGTCCCAGCTCTCTGCAGGTCATTCACTAGGTCCCCCCGTGTGGTTCTGGGATTTTTGCTCACCGTTCTTGTGATCATTTTGACCCCACGGGGTGAGATCTTGCGTGGAGCCCCAGATCGAGGGAGATTATCAGTGGTCTTGTATGTCTTCCATTTCCTAATAATTGCTCCCACAGTTGATTTCTTCAAACCAAGCTGCTTACCTATTGCAGATTCAGTCTTCCCAGCCTGGTGCAGGTCTACAATTTTGTTTCTGGTGTCCTTTGACAGCTCTTTGGTCTTGGCCATAGTGGAGTTTGGAGTGTGACTGTTTGAGGTTGTGGACAGGTGTCTTTTATAC